TTTCTTCTTCTTTCTTCTTTCTTCTTCTTCAAGAGGGGTGGCTTGCTTTAACTCCTGGGCTCAGATGATTCTACCGCCTCAGCCTCTCCAGTAGTTGGGACTATTGGTAAATAGCACCATGCTTCTGCCTTTTTTTTAAAAAAAAAACAGGTCTATTTTCTTATCAAAAGAAATGTTTTTGGATGGGGGGGACTGAAGTCTGTAATTTCAGGCGTTTGTATAAAAATCTGCTATATAGTAGATACTCAAGGAGTGTTGGGTGAATGAAGGTGATTACAACACAGTTTCCTCTTCTGCAAAACCAGGAATTGGTCTAAAGGGATTTGCAGAAAGTGCCTTTTTTCTCCTATCACTGTACTATTTAAGAGTGATGATATTCCTTATTGAGGCTCAATTTCAGGATTGAATCATGTCTTCGAAAGTGCCTTAACCCCATAACCATCTTGAACGGTCTGGGTAGTTTCTGGGACCCAAATCGTATGCACATATTTTTGCTCCAACTTTTCAGGCAGAACTCCTATAGAAGAAGGGAAATCTTAACTTATCATGCCTCCTCCCTTTTCTGGGAAGGGCACTGCGTGGCATGAGCTCTACACCTGTTCCAGCCTTTTGTGGAGAAAACATCACAGCTTTTCCCGCTCCACGAAAAGTCCTGTTCTCCAGTGCTAGGTGCTCCCTTCCCACCCAGTGCAGAGAGCCAAAGATGTCCCTCTGGGGAAAGGTGGGCTAGGAGCAGCGCAGGAACCCGACCTCCCAGCCTGGCTTAGCTGGCAGAGCAGGTGACCCTCAGCGGGGGGGCGGTGCACCCAGTTAGTTACCTGGCGCTGGGCGGGGCCTGGGTGTGATCCCAGGATGTGATTGGTTGGTGCCGCGCCTGTCTCCATGTGCCGCGCGGCGGAGGCACAACATTGAAGCCCGGGGGCGGGGCCGGCGCGCGCCGGGAGGAAGCGGCCGCGCGGCAGCTGCGGGGCGTGGGGGCGGCGGCGGCCAAGGCCGAGGCGGCGGCGGTGGCAGTGGCAGTGGCACCTCAGCCGGTGACAGTGCTCCGCCGGTCCTTTTGAAGGCCCTATGGAGGCGGCGGCTGGCGGAGGCTGCGGCTCTGGGCCGCCGCTGCTGCTGAGCGAGGGCGAGCAGCAGTGCTACTCAGAGCTCTTCGCGCGCTGCGCGGGCGCCGCGAGCGGGGGCGCGGGTCCCGGGCCCCCTGAGTCCGCCAGGGTCGCCCTTGGCGCTGCCACTGCGGCCGCTGGCCCAGTGGCTGACCTGTTTCGGGCATCGCAGCTCCCTGCCGAAACGCTGCACCAGGTAGGTCCCTGCGCCCCCTTTCTTTGCGAATCTGTGGGATAGTGTCTGTGGGACGTTTTGCGTGACACGGTTGTCCCCAGGGATATGAGTCCTCGGCCAGGTGTCAGAGACTCTGTAGCTGGGGATGGCGGCGACGCCCTTGTGCTCTAGGGACACCAGCCTCCTCCATAGCTTAGCTCGGCCAGTGCTGGGTCCACTCCCTGTCTTCTTCTCTTGAGGCCGTCTGACACTCCCTCCCCTCCCCCGGTCATTCCTGGGGTTCTACCGCCGCCCTAGCCCAAAGTTTGTCCTGTCCTGGAAGTGATGTTTGTTTTGGCTGGTGTCTGGTTTAACCTCTGTTCCCCGCTCCTGCCCCTCCCTCTCCTGGGTGGCCGCTCAGGGTGCCTTGCTGGGATTTGAACTTGAAGGGTGTGTTTTCTGTATGGCTTCAGGCCCAGGGTTGCTTGTTGTCCTCTTTCTATTGTGATTTATATGTATATCTACTACATGTATATTTGTCCGCCAGTGTATTTCTGAGTATTAGTATTAAATTGGAAAAGCTTAATGGCGAGTTGCGGAGCAAGGACTTAGGGTTGCAAGAGGATATTGGTCAAGTCAAAGCCAAGTTCCTCATTTGGGGCTAGAAGTGGATCGCACAAGTCACCATGGTACACAGCTGTAGTTTCCCATCTTATCATCATGTGGACTTGAAATAGAATTTGAAAGGAAGAGATGTCAGAGCTGCCTCTTTTTGGCTGCTCCATACCTGTAAAATGATTCCCTCATCCCCAGCAGGTGCTGTTTTTGTTTTGTGCTTTCCTCTAAGCTTGGGGAAAGACTACCTGATAAGCCCTTGCCTTTCATTTAATATCACCAGCACTAAATGGTGATAAGATGGTTAATCTCAAACCCCAAATATGAAATGGAGCTTTTCTTAAAAAGCAATCATATGAAAGTTACTAACACCAATTGGGTTTTTACAGTGGCGAATGATCCTGTAAAATGTAGTTCTAAAGGAATATTATGGTTTTATGGTTCACTTCTGGTATCAATGTGTTGTAGGCTTGGTTTTTGGTCACTTAAGACTGTTTTATACTGCTGGAGCATGTATATGCCCATATGTTTATGAGCATAACTTTAGCTACTCTAATCTTTTCATCTTTTCAAATTTTGGATTTCTGAAAATATAATTAACATTCATAGAAATTAGCATGGATTTGTCCCTAAAAAGTCCTTGATATGTAGATGGTTTTGCCACTTCTGTTGAGCAGTTGAGTTAGTCCAGGTAAAGAGAAAGTCAGTGTCTTGAGGCCCTCAGAATATTTCCAAGGATAATACATTTATTAAAATGACATGCTATACAGCAAGAGAGAACTGCACACCTGTTAAGGCTTATTTTGTTGTCAGTAATGTACTAAGTGTGATAGGAGAAGATCTGAATATTAATTATGAATATGTTAGTTAAAGCTTTCTCAGGAATTGGAAGGGGCTTTCCTTGTGTTGCAATCCATACTTCCTTGAGGTATATATGAATTAAAAAATCCCTAAGGCTCAGTACCTTTGCATGAATGAGATTATATTCTGCAGATGAAAATCGCTTGCAAAAGACTGTTTTAGATACTGGTAAAAGGGAATGTTACTAGAAGATTGCATGGTGTAAACCTCAGACCTTTATGCTCCCTGATTCAGCCCAGCAAAACCAAACCAAACCAAACATCATCCTTCCCATTGAGACTAACAAAATTGCATTAACCCAGTGTTCTTGGAAAGGCATCCTGAATAGGGAAAGATAATCCTTACAGAGTGAAACAAAGTCAGCAACTGGCAGCCACCTAATTTTTACACATCACTTTGGCAATGGTGGTAGTGGGGTGTGTGTATGTGTGTATGCTTGATCCACCTCAATTTGCATCACTATATCAATGTATTAGCCACTCTTTAAAACAAATGTAGACAGTTTCCCCTTCCCTGTTAAACAGGAACCTGTAAGTTTAGATTTAAGTGGCCCAGCAGGTATAACTGCTCAAATCATAGAGGCACTAATCAGCCCTGGTAGTTTCTATGGTAACCACCAAGTTTTCCTCTTAAGTATATAGTTAAGATGACCATAATGTACCAGGAAGGGAGAAAATGTCACCATTTTACCAACAGTAAATATTCTACAAAAATACCTAATTTTGCTGGACGTGGTGGTGCAGGCCTGTAATCCCAGGGACTTGGGAGGCTGAAGCAGGAGGGTTTCAAGTTTGAGGCCAGCCTCAGCAACTTAGTGAGGCCCTAAGGAACTTAGTGAGACCCTGTCTCAAAATAAAAAAGGCTGGAGATGTAGGTCAGCGGTAAAGTGACCCTGGGTTCAACCTCCCTGTACTCACCTCCTCCAATACCTAATTTTATCTCCTTGAAGTAAAAATAGTCCAGTACACCTGTTACTTTGTTATGGAAGTTAGCCTACAAAATTATGTTAGAGTTTTTCTCCTGTCTCGATATAAATATAAGCATTTATATATGCTTACAAGTTATAAATACATATTTATATGTGCCTATATATGTATGTGTGTGTATATATATAAATTTTAACATGCTGTGGTTTGGTAAATATCTTCTAAGGGTGTTAGACTTGGTCCCAGGGTGATACTATTGGGATGTGGTGATGGCTTTGTGAGGTGGGGCCTATGGAGACCTAGTGGGAGGTCTTTAGACCATTGGGGCATTCCCTTAAGGGAACTGTGGGACTCTGGCCTTTTCTTTCTTTTTTTAAAAATTTATTTGCTCTAATCAGTTACACATGACAGCAGAATTCTCTTTGATTCATTGTACATAAATGGAGCACAATTTTTGACTTGTCTGGTTGTAAACAAAGGAGGGTCACACCGTTTGTGCAATCATACATGTACCTAGGGTAATGATGTTCATTTCATTTCACCATCTTTCCTACCCCCATGATCCCTGCATTTTCTTTTCCTTTTGCTTTCTGGCCATGAGGTGAGCAGTTTGCTCTGTCATGTGATTCTCATCATTACCATCCAGCACTCCCAACAGACGTCCAAAGCGACAGGGTCAATAGATCATCATCCAGAACTAGGAAACAAAATAAGCCTTTTCTCTCTGTAAATTAATTATTTTGGGTATTCTGTTATAGTAATTAAAAGCTAACACATGCATATATATATATATATATTTATTTATTTATTCACATGCATATATGTAAACATGTATATAGTGGTTCTGGGAATTAAATCCAGTGCCTCACCCATGCTTTGCGAGTTCTCTACCACTAAACTAACTCTTAGCCCATGCAATGTATTTTTCAATAGACTTTTTTTCAGAGCAATTTTAGGTTCACAGGAACATTGAGAATAGAATACAGAGAGTTTCCATATACCTTTTGCCCCTATACATATATAGCCTCCCCCGCTATAGACATGTAGCCCCAGGGTGGTATATTTGTTACTTTTGATGAACTTACATTGACATGTTATTATTGCTTAAAGTCTATAGTTTACATTAGGGTTCACACTTGATATTGTATATTCTATGGGTTTGCATAATGTTTGACATATATCCATCATTATAGTAACATATAGAATAATTTTAGTGCCCTAAAAATCCTCTTTAGTGGGCAGGGGCTGTAGCTCAGTGGCAGAGGGCTTGCCTAGCATGTGTGAGGCACTGGGTTTGATCCTTAGCACCACATAAAAAACTAAACAAATAAAGGCATGCTGTCCATCTACAAGTATTAAAAAAAATTAAAAAATCCTCTGTAGTCCACTGATTCATCCCTTCCTCTCCAATAACTCTTGGCAACCATTGATCTTTTTGCTGTCTCTAGTTTTGCCTTTTTTCAGAATATTATATATTTGGGGTTATAAAGTATATAGCCTTTTCATATTGGCTTCATTCACTTAGTAATATGCATTTCAGATTCCTCCATGTCTTTTCATGGTTTGGTGGCTCGTTTATTTTTAGCACTGAATAATAGTCCATTGTCTAGATGTACTAGGTTATTTCGACGTTTACCTGCTGAAGGGGCTCTTGGTTGCTTCTATGTTTTGGCAGTTGTGGATAGAACAGTTATAAATATTTCTGTGGAACTTTTTGTGTGGGCAAAAGTTTTTAACCCATTTGGGTAAAAAGCAAGGAGCATGACTGCTAGATCATATCACAAGAATATGTTTGATTTTATAAAAAACTGTCAGTCTTTCAAAGTGACTGTACCATTTTCCATTCCCACCAACAGTGAAAGAATTCCTGTTATTCTACCTCCTGGTTAGCATTTAGTATTGTCAATGTTTTGCATTTTGGTCATTGAAATATATTAATATTAATATTACCATCTATGTTTATTGTAATATTTCATTGTTTTAATTTTTAATTCCCTAATCACATTATGTTAAATATCGTTTTAGTAATTATTTGCTATCTTCGATTATATTTGAATGCATTACAATAGCCTAATTAAAATTTTTTTGGTCTTTATGTTATTTGTTTATTTTTATGTGCTTATTTATTTTATTTTATCTATTTTTTTGTTCCAGGGATTGAACACAATGGTGTTTAACCACTGAGCCACATCCCTAGTCCTTTTTATTTTATTTTTAAATTTTGATACATGATCTCACTAAGTTGCTGATATTGTTTTTTAAAATTTTTTTGTAGTTGTAGATGGATAGGATGCCCTTATTTTATTTGTTTATTTTTATGTGGTGCTGAGGATCGAACCCAGTGCCTCACACATGCTAGGCAAGTGCTCTGCATCTGAGCTACAGCCCCAGCCTCTGAGGCTGGTTTTGAACTTGAGATCCTCCTATTTCAGCCTTCCAAGCCTCTGGGATATAGGCATGTGCCATCATGCCTGGCCTGATTTATTTTAAAATCAGAATTCTGACAGTAGGTGGAAAGTAGAATTAAAACACTTTTTAAATTTTTAATTTTTTGTGTTGTTGGGGATTGAACCCAGGGCTTTGGGCATACAAGGCAAGCACTCTACTAACTGAGCTATAGCCCCTGCCCTAATGAAAACA